GTTAGGCTGAACAAGCTGGACTTGTGGAATTAATTTTTTAAAGGAATCTTTATATTTGTATCCTACTCTCCCTTAAATTTATGAATCTCTCCCCTCTCCCTTTCTTTCTACCTTAATTTGGATCTTCATCATCTCTCACCTAAGCTAGTTTCACTACCTCTCTAACTTTTCTTCCTGCTTTGAACTGTTCTCCATAGGCTACCTCACACAGCCATCAGAAGGATCTTTTAAAACCCAGCTTCAACAATGAGACTCTCCCTGCTTTAAACCCTTTTGTGTCTCCTCATTGCTACCGGATTAAATCCAGTCTTCACCTCAACTTGTCTTTTCACCCACCTCCTCTCTCTTCACTACTCCAAAACATATTATATAAGCTATTAGCCACTCTCAGGCTAGTCCAGAAGGTTGGAAGGAACAAATTTGTCTTCCCTAAATTGGAAAAGCAATTACAAAAAAAACTACAATTATGGCCAGAATATGGACTCAAACTTGATCTGGACAGTGAGAAAGTTGAGAGGTGTGAGTGTGTAAAAGAGAAAGGAGGAGGACCAACACTGGGCACTGGCAAAGTTGGAGTTAGTTGTGTAGCAGTGTGGTCCAGGTGACTTAGCTTACAGCAGGACCCCAAACAAAAACTGTCAATCCAGAGATAGAGGTAAGGGCAAGAGCTTTGGAGGCTGATTGGACTGATCCAAAGAGCAACAGCTGAGGGCAAGGAAGGTGGCATGCACTCACATTCTTCTGAACCCTGGCAAAACAGAACTCACAAAATCTTTTTGAATAGATATATGAAGGAAATTTTACAAAGTTATATTTGTGATTTCTGAAATATACTGAGACAGTATTCATGATGCCAAACCAGAAAACTAAAAACGTATATTAAACAAACAGACATGTTAATCAATTATTGACAAAACTTCAATTTTCATGCAGGAACCATAGGTGTTTCTTATACAAATGGATAAGATTAGAGGTGATTAGAAATATTAGTTTATTTCTTGTATTTAATTTCCTGTGGCTAATTATACCTTTCCTTTTCCATTTCAGTATTTCTATACAGAAGCTTTCAAATGAATCTCACTACACGATTTACGAGTTCTGGGAGAACAGTAGTGTGTGGAATAGGTAAGTTATCAGCAGGCCTTATTTTTTTTATTTTTTTGCCAGGGAGGTGGCAATATACATGATATAATTTTAGAACCTGTAGAAAAAACTCCATTCCCTTTACCTCACCTTAAAACCTGTCTTATTTGCTCATTTTCCTAAATCTCACTCTTTTTATGGATTTGAAATCACTTTCCTTTTGAAGCACAAAAACTTTTGATTATGATCACACTTTAAGAGTTACCATTTTACTGATGCTTTCAGGTAAACAGATTTAGATGTGGGTCATGGGTGTCTAAGGTGTGCAGGGGTGGGAGACAAAGGATGCAGAAAAAGATGAAAATAATTTTACTTCCTAATTTTTCTTAAGCTCTGTGGTTCTTATTTTGCAATATAGCTATATATAATGGTTAAGATCATCATAGCTTAACAGCTTTTTGAAATGTCTTTACTTACTGCAAACAAAAGGGAAATTCAAGACATTGTTTGGAAAAGATTAAAAGCAAGTCAACTTCTCTTGTAATCATTCAGTTTTGTATATAATTATATTTGTTAACTATTCCTCGATAAAGTTAAAAGATAAATCAAGTTCTTTGAAATTAAAATAATTATTAATAAGTAACAAATATATAATTAGAAAAATGAGATGAAGGAAATTTTGCTATTCTGAGATTATATAAATAGTTCTAGTTGGCTTTAAATGGCACAGAGAATATAGCTCTCCAATAAGTCCATATTTTGGGGTGTTAAATGATGGTAATGAAACAAATACCTGGAAATTTATTTGATACATATTTCACCTAAAATTTTTATTTTTGTGGCTATTTTAAACACTGTGCTATAATGCATAATGACATCAACAGAATTTCAGGCACAAAAGGGAGCTTTAAAGGCAACTTATTCAACTCTGTAGTTCCAGGCCTATACTTTTAGATGATTTTTCTTTCTTTTTATCCTCTAGAGATGGAAAATCTATAGTCCTTCTTCTTAGCTATCCTATTTTTTAAACATCCTGATGCCCAAGATAGTCTTCCTTCTGTTTAAACTTCTTGCTGCAATTACAGTTATCTCCTTTTGTTTTATCTTCTCTAGAGAATTAGTGCTCTCCTGTTTTAAAAAAAAATTCTGGTGATACTTGTTAAATTACTCCTTAGTCTTTTTTTAAGGGTAAATAACCAAGAAAAGAAGTCCGTATTCAGGCACTTAATCTAAATCATCCGAAACCTTGCCACCTTGAGTGAATTTGAACTGTGCTACATTCTACTCAGGAAGATTGTAATAAATTGCACAGCCATAACCTATAATTATTTATACAGCCACCGTCAGATGAATTATAGCAAGACCTTCCAAAGAAGTAATGTGGATTTCTTGGAAACTCCAGAACTCACATCTACTATGCTAGTTCCTGGTAATTATCCTGGGTTCACAATTCTTCTATGTGCTTTTGTATTGCCTTTCTCTGTTTAAAAGACAGTATGTTCTAGCCCTTTCCCCTTCATCAACTGTACTCTATTTTTTTATCTATCTTAAAATTGGAGAGTGGGGGTAGGAAATAAGAGATCTATATATTTTTTCTATTGCCTTTAGTCCTTAGTTGACCCTATTTGTATTCCTGGCTGTATTAAACCTAATATTAGTCATTTGCTGGTCACCTTTTAACAATTTGAAGTACAAATCATGACATTTCAAAAAATTATTCAAATGCTTTACTATATTATAGTGTATTGAATAAATCTGAAATAGGTGACCATAGATTGGAGATTAGAATTATGTTAGAAATATCTTTATTATAATAATTGTTAAAATATTTTTTGTAATTGGAGAAAAAGGAGAAGGGAAAGAGAAATTTGAAATGAACTTGCCTGAGAAGTCTGGCCTAGCCAAACCTTATTTAAGATAATTGAGAGCAAAAATTATTTGTTCATCTACCCATCCATTCAATTACCAATTAAACATACTTTTACTGAATGTTAATAAGTGCTAAGCACTGGGGATACTGGGGTTCCTAGCCTGTTTACTAGCACTGATTGAGCTCCAGTTATGTACAAGCATTGTGTTGGGAGCTATAGAGGGTACAAAGTAAAAATACAGTCCCTACCTATAAAATGCTTTCTGTCCAGTAGGAAAGACAAATGTTTGCAGAAAAATAACAAGCTCAGGACATACATAATAGTTACCTATTAGAGTCATAATGTGCTATGTGAATTTAGAGGAGTGGATTGCCTCTTTAACAGTTTTTAATGAGGAGATGATCCTTGAGCTGGACTTTAAAAAATTAGATTTGGACAAATAAAGATGGAGAAGAAGGGTACTTAGAGGTAAATTGTAGACATGAACAAATGTAAGAAATGTTAAATGTGCTGTGTTAATTGGTGCAAAGATATGATTAAAGCATAAGGCTTGTATATGGTACATGTGCAAAGAGAGGAGAGAGTAGGAAATGGGAGTTGAAAATATAATAAGGAATTTTAACTTTCTTCTTACAGTATTATGGAGCCATTAAAGGTTTTTGAGAGGGCTAGTGAATGCTCTAATCAGTAGTAACTGTGGCAGGAGGGAGAAAGGTGAATGTCATGAGAGGAGAGAAATTGGTCAGGCAGGGCAATAATCTAGGCCAGGAAAAAAAAGCATCTGAACCAAGACGATATCCATACAGTTCCCTTGCAGATAGAATTTTCAGGAGTTAACCATAGCAAGATGATGGTTGAAGCCGGGCGTTGGTGAGAAAGTGTGTAGGTAAGAAGAAAATATCTAACAGAAGCCTGAGGAACTGCCTTTATTTAAAAGGTTGGGAGAGAAAAGCCTCCTTTCATTAAGGAGACTGAGGGGAACCAGAGATAGGAGAGTCACAGTTACAGAGTATCAAGGAAACCAAAAGAGGAGTAACATGCAAAGTACAGTGCTCCTCAGGGGGCCTATGTAGGAGAGCATGACTGAAGAGAATGGGACTGAAAATTGGATTTGACAAGAGAAGTTTTAATAAAATGGTAGGAATTTTAAAATTAGGGTAGATTTTGATGGATTGGCAATAAATGGAAAATGAAGAAGTCAATTCTGGAATTGAAGCTAGGTGAGGAGATGGGGAGATCAGGTGTGAATGCTTTCAAGTTGGCTGACTCTGACAGTCTCAGCCTGATTTTTTATATTTACTCTAGATCTTAAGGGCAGGTTTATGCACTATTAGTATCATTGGTACATGCATTCTATTACTCTTTCTCTCTCAGAGCATTTCCTAATTTAGAGAGAAAAACTGAGTACAGATAAAACTGGATCAATTCCTGTTCTCAGAATTCAGAGTGAATACAATTTAATGCCTTTTAATTGCTACCCTATTTTTCATGTGTGTGTGATTTTCACATCACATCTAATTTCTACAACCACTGGAATTTGATAGAAAAAAAAGTTAGGCTTGATTCTAACACAATTTTAAAAACCTACTTCAAACAAGATTTTTAACATCTATTGGGTCATCCTACTCTATTCTAAACTGAAAGTTCTATCACTGTTAACAGCTGACTTCCCTTGGGAACAAACAGCAGATATATCTCCCTGGACAAAAAGCTGAAATTAGCTTATAAATATTATTTATGATTTTAATGTCCATATGACTTATATTTGTAACAACTAGTTTTGTGCATTTTGTTTATGTAGTTTTGAAATGCTGCATATATTTTGACCTAAAATAAAAATCTGAAAGTTATTACAGTTAGAAACACACAATGAGTGGGTTTGTATTACTAATTCACAAATAACAATTTCTAATAAGACTTTTTTTTTTTTTTTTTTTTTTGTGGTACACGGGCCTCTCACTGCTGTGGCCTCTCCCATTGCGGAGCGCAGGCTCAGCAGCCATGGCTCACAGGCCCAGCCGCTCCGCGGCATGTGGGATCTTCCCGGACCGGGGCACGAACCCGTGTCCCCTGCATCGGCAGGCAGACTCTCAACCACTGCACCACCAGGGAAGCCCAATACTGCTTTTTAATTAAGATTTCTAAGTGGTTTACTTAAGATACATCTTAAGAAATAAAGCAGGGACTTCCCTGGTAGCGCAGTGGTTAAGAATCTGCCTGCCAATGCAGGGGACATGGGTTCAAGCCCTGGTCCGGGAAGAGCCCACATGCCACAGAACAGCTAAGCCCGTGCACCACAACTACTGAGCCTGCGCTCTAGAGCCTGTGAGCCACAACTACTGAGCCGCGTGCCACACCTACAGAAGCCCATACGCCTAGTGCCCATGCTCCATCCGCAATTAGAGAAGTCACCTCAGTGGGAAGCCCGAGCACCGCAATGAAGAGTAGACCCCGCTTGCCGCAACTAGAGAAAGCCCGTGAGCAGCAACAAAGACCCAACTCAACCAAAAATAAAAATAAATAAAACAATTTATTTAAATAAATAAAGCAAATAAACCAGTCTTCACTAGATACAAAAATATAAACCAAAATATATTCCTATGAACTCTCAAATATAAAAATCACTTAAATGAGGCATACTGGAATATGGAGCCTATGCTGATAAGCTATCATAAAACACCCAGACAAAAAGAGTATGAGAATTGGTCTGTGGAGCAGAATATCCCTTGGCAAAGGAGAAAGCCTTATGGTTATGGGAAAAAAGGATACATAAGAAAGTAAGATCCTATTGCCAGTCAGTGTATTATTTAAACAGCTTTGAAAACAAATTTTAATCCTTCACATTTGTCTGTTTCTCACCTCATTCCACCAATCTTACTTCTTTGACATAGGTTTGTCTTTGGGATACTTACATTTACTGGGGAAAATATTCCTAATTTTACAATACAGATATACTAAAAAAATATTATTTAAAACACATCCACTTATTTATACCCAAACTTTCTGAACTGGGAAGATTAAAACAACAACAACATGATTTTATCTTCAGGGTGTTTATAATCTCATTGCCAAGACAATCTCTATTCATATATAACAAAAACTTTTTAGTTAAACTGCAACCAAGTGCCAAAAGCTATGGTACAACTAACAAGTGCACAGGAAAGTTCAATCAAGTCAGGAAACAGTAACTTGAAAGATAAGTAATTATACAGACTAAAGATGAGGGAAAATAGTCTCTTTAAGAATGACTTGCACCTTGAACTAACTTAGCCCTAGCAGTTATTTTCATTATTTAAAAAAACTCTTTTTCTCTTTTCAGCTTCATGGTGGATCCTGAACAACTAGCTGTTCCTTAACATTTTCTTTATGGTTCCAAGTAAAAAACAACTGTTCTTATCTGAAATGTGAATTAGAAAATTCTCTGTACTTATTAATCTACTCTCTACTTTTGTTTAAATATATTTACCCTAAGATGTGCACTCTTCTTAAATGTCTTCTATCATTTTATCTTTCATGTAAATTTTAGCTCAACTTTCAAAGTTCACTATTATCCTCAATATTTGCTGCTGTATTGCTATATACAATAAACCTAAAACCCTTTAGTCTCAAAATCATAATATATGAAAAGTATACATATAAAGTAACAAAATTGTTATGATAGAGAAAAAAACATTTAAAGTGAGAGCTTTTAGACTATTACTTCATAGAACAGCTTCTGTAGATCTGTCATAAACTATAAAGGTTAAATCAGTGTTTTGTGATTTTTTAAGTATCTGCTTTACCATGAGTGAAATGTATTCTTCAGTAATACCTACTCCATTCCCAACTCAGGATCCTATAACTATTCACTTTATGTTACTTAAAAAGCTAATACATGATCCAATATGACTGGTATCCTTATATGCAGAGAGAGAGAGCAGGGATGCAGTGCATCCCTGTTGTTTAAGCTTAAAAAAACATTAATACATGAGCATAAACCAATCTTCATTATAACCAATAGAATCTCTATCCATCTGTCAAGTTATAAACTGGTTTTTCATAAGTGAGCAATTCTGTGACAGGGTACCATTTAGTAATGTAACACCATTATATCATTTGTTAAGAAAATGTGGTTCAAAATTTTTGGCACATGATCCAGAGGTCTAACTTTACTTATGAAAAATAGACATTTGCATTTAAATAATGATTTCAAAATATTTTAAAACCAAAATTTTAACCTAAGTGAACAAAGAATTATAAAACAAGTATAAACTTTAGGGAAATAATAAAATATGTACTGGACAAAAAACATCTATTTTTCAGTTTCAACACTAGAATGACTACAATCCCAGTTTCACTAGAAAAACTAAAACTATGTACCTTATATATTCTGCTGTACAAGCTCATAAATTAAATATTTTTAATAAAATCTCTTTTATTCTGATAAATGCTGCTAATGAAAATGCAATGCATATAGAAATTTGTTTATTCTCTAGGCCAAATTCCTCTGAAAACACAGGTCTTTCAGGAAACAAACATAAGGTGAATTTTTCCTTTTCTTTTTTTTTTTAACTCAGACAAAAAGGAAGGTTGAACTAAAATTTTGTTTTTTAAATATAAAAGTTAACCTAACATATTTTCTCAAACTAACTTTTACCAACACCTTTGTGTACTCTCAGTCCTCATTTAGTCTAAATAAAATTAAAGAATTTTTAATAGCTTCTACTAGAAATAGGTAGTAAATATTGACATACACACGTGTGTGTATATGTTTGTGTGTGTGTGTGTGTGTGTGTGGTCATTTCTAAAGATGATAAACACTATGAAACAACACCTGGCTCAACTCTTTTAATTTATATACAAAGCAAAGAACAACATGAATGGAGATGTACAATGATTATTCAAATAAGCTATACATATGTACAAAGGCAAATAGATAATAAAACAGTCTTTGCAGTCTCACTCTGATTATATACAATAAGAAAGGATCAAAAGACTTTGAAGCCTCGGGGACTTCTACTATACAAACTCTTCTTGAAAACGCTGGTTATAAATGATTTCAAAAATAGAAATTATAGCTAATCAATATATTGTTCTGGCCAGTCCATTTCTGTATCAGATTCAGAAAGTACATCAAGTCTTTTGGATACTAGGCACTTTCCAAAGTTAGGATGGTAGTATGACTTTAAATGGGGTCTGCCCTCAGTAACAATGCTAAATGGAAGGGCTCTTTGGATTCCAAATTGGAATAGGTTCGATCATATTTTTTTTTAACTAAAGTCAACAGACTTGGATAATAGGCAAATAATAAAGCAAACCAATTTAATTATATGGTAATTCTGACCCCAGCTCTTTTTAAATTACTTTTTTATTGAGATGACCCCAGCTCTTATATAAATTACATGTATTTTTGTGTATGTGTGTGTAATCATACACATATAAATACTAGAAGCTATAATATAAAGGGAAATAGTAGGGCAAAAATGAGTGTAAAAAACTGGGCCGTAGGTGTAAACTCATTTTTAAGTAACCAATAAATTTATGGCTAGTGAAGGTTCTTTTTTTTTTCTTACTTGAAAAGCAATCTTTTTCTGGTGAACAAAGCAATTAAAAGTAGTATACTAAAGACCAAGTTGGGAAATCTGCCATGGACTAAAGTTTGAATCTGGGTAACAAGTCTAAAGACCAGTGAAGAAAAAGGTACTTGTTTTAGGAGTTCAGAATTCAGTTTAAGATAAACTTTCTGCCAAATGATGTCCTTGAATGCCTTGCCAATAGACCCAGGGATCTGAAAGAATCTGAGGATAGAACTAGGGAGAGTTTACACTTACCTTTACATGAGCAATTCTTTGTGACACTGTGCTGGAACAAACTTTTCTTTTTAACAAGAGTGACAAATTGCAGGAGATTTAGTGTATAGAATTTCTAGGAGCTAAAAGTTTAAACCTCCAAATTCTTCATCCATACACTTGTTATAAGAAATTACAGCACTGAAACTTAATGCACCTCAATTATTTGCAAATGCCTCAATTATTCCTCTTTTGGAAATAAAAGAATATTAGACAATGTTGTTATTATCACAAACCCACAGAACAATCATATATTTGAAAAGAAATACTTCTTAAAATATTATCCCTCCTATCACTGAGAACTATTCATTGAACATCCTGAATCATTCTAAACCTCTAGAGAGATTGTAATGATCCTTTCAAGTGCTGGTATGAAATCAGTGGGAAACAAAACAAAAGCAACTTTAAAAGCAACAAGAAATTATGTATCATATATACATCATAGCATATACTTTATATTTGAGAATCCTTACAGCTTACATTTTCATTCCATTATTACAAGTGATGAAAAACAAAAATTGCAAGTAGCATGCAAATTATAAATACAGTCTTCCCATTTCACTAACCAAATTCCTACTTTCCAGTGTTACTTCCCAATTTATGCAAGAAACTGCCTGCAAAGCTGAAACTGATTAGAAAATTCTTTATTGTTTAAAGTATCTCTTTCTCATTTTAGGAGAAACCAAATATCCAACCATCAAAATTAAAAATAAATTGAATTGTTACAGTCTGTTACAGTTATTGTTACTAGATCCACTTCATTTGCAGGTGTCCAAAATATAAAATTAGTAATTCTTTATCTTGAAATACATACATTCTCAAAATGCTACTTAAAGCTTTGGTTGTTTTCCTGTAATAGAGAAGAAAAAGTTAACTTATCAATTAGATTGAATGAATGTACCTTTTACTAATTAGTTTATCAAACCAAATGTTGTGACCTATTGTTTGCAGATCTAAATGCATGTTACTATAGAAACTATTAAGTAACTGGAATTTGTCAAATAAAGTAGTTCTTCTGTGTTTAGTAAAACTTATATAATACATATATTATATTTAAATATATTAGATTGTATTCAAAACCCGTTGTTCTGTTTTTGTGGTACCTAATTTTTAGAAAATATTATTAATGCATAAAACAAAAGTAAACTCAAAATAATGCGTAGGTCAAACTTCTATTGACAAAATAAAATGTTTTTAGAAGTGGAAAGCCTTCAAATGAGAAAGCGACTATATTTTATATAGCACTGAAGTTTAGATTTATTCTTATAGACCAAGGATTATATGCCCTTAAGATCTCTGAACAGGTAGAAAAATTCAAATAACATCAAGGATGCTTTACCTCATTAAATATTCCTGTGAGCAAGGTATTATGAAAAAAACTTCTAAATTTATGCTTTAATTTTAAAAAGAATTGGCTGGATGTCTGCAAGGTAGTGAGTTTAAATTAAGAGCCATTGATACACTATGAATAAACTAAAATACAAAAAATTGTAATTATGAAAAAAAAGCTATGGATTCCAAAGGGTAAGAAATCCCCCAAATGGAGAACACAGGAGGTATTTTATATCTCACATTTGACCCATTCTTAGCATACCTATATTCTGAACTCATCTCAGTAGAATACTACAGGCATTCCTCACTTTACTGCTCTTTGTAGATACTGTGTTTTTTACAAATTGAAGGGTTGTGGCAACCTTGCATCAAACAAGCCTGTGGGTACTATTTTTCCAACACCATCTGCTCACTTTGAGTCTCTGTGTTATATTTTGGTGATTCTCCCAATATTTCAAACATTTTCATTATTATCATTATATTTGTTATAGTGATCTGTGAACAGTTATCTTCAATGTTACATAGTGAAAAGATTACAACTTGCTGAAGGCTCAGATGTTGGTTAGCATTTTTTAGCAATAAATAACTAAATTGTTTTTTAATTAAGATATGTAAATAGTTTTTTTTTTTTTCCCAGACATAATGCTATTGCACAACTAAGAGCAGTATAGTGTAAACATAACTTTTATATGCACTGGGAAACCAAAACATTTGTGTGACTCCCTTTATTGCAATATTTGTTTGGAACCAAATTTGCAACATCTCTGAGGTATGCCTGTATACCTTTTATACACCTTTACCTGTATAAAATGGTGTTTATGAAAACTATAAATAAAAGAAATTCAAATTCCAGTCAAAATGGAAGTAAAGACCATAAAAGATGAAAATCAACACCTACTGAGTACATAATGAGAGATAAGTACCATGCTAAAAGCAATTTCATACATTTCATTTAATTCTAACAATTAGAAATTATCCCCTTATCACAATTGCAAAACTGAGGCTCAAGAACGTTAAGTGACTTGCCTAAGTTTGAACAATATACCAGTACACAGGTGGAGCTACAACTTGAACCCAAGCCTGACATGAAACCCATGTCCTTTCCAATCAATATCCTGAAAGATACATGTATGTATTTACTGTGTGTATTTACTTTGATAGAATTTGATGAGGTGACACAGAAATATAAAGGGCTAAGAAACAGCAAAGATGTGTCGAAGAATAGTTGTGTTGTTTTACTGTACAAAAGGAGTAACTGAACAGAACAGAGCGCCCAGAAACAGACCACATGTAAATATATTGCCACAAAGGTGGCAGAGGACTATCCTTTTGCTAAATATTGCTAGGATGACTGGATATCCATGCAGAAAAAAATAAAACTTCACCCCTACCTCACACCATAGTAAAATCAATTTCAGGTGAGTTATAAAACTTAATTGAAAAACAAAAATATTTCCTAAAATATGACAATTCCATTCTATTTTTGACAGAGTGGTAATTACTTGCAGTAATTGGTTATACTATACATTTAGATTTATGTACTTTTCTGAATTATATTTCACAATGAGAACATTAAAAAGGTTTAAA